CTTGAATACCGTCATTCTGCAAAAAATGTCACCTTTGTCGTATAACCGATTTCAATTTTGAAATATCATCACCGTAACAATCATCATCATTGTGTACCTAAAGAATGTTAATTCTCATGGAAAAAAAGATGGACAAGTCATCTTGCATGATAACCAATTTTGTTGACTGTACCCATTAATTGCAATAAAAGACCTTATGAAATCCTTTGAATGCTTTTCGCACTGGCAAAAAATGAAATATTAGCCGATGGTGAACCTGTTTAGGTTTTGGTCTGGTTCACTTTAGAAACGGAATCGGGTACGAGTTACGAATATGTGACGGGAGTCTATGAAACTCGTACTTGCGTTTGGTCACAAGTTGTATAATGTCTGAAATTTGTATCTGGCATTGTATTGATCATCGAGATAGTATCTAAATATCTAGAAAGGCGTTATTAGAATCTCTCTTGGCTGTACAAAGCACACAGGTCTGGGGTATGTTTTACGCTCTGTATACATAGCAATTAAGCAATTAAAAAGCCTTATTCCGGTCCTGCATTACGTTTTTATAATGATACTAACCTGTTAAAGGTTTTGCGATTTTTTACTTCTCGCCACTGGGCTAGGAAGTATTGTAATCGCGAAAAATTTTGAAAATGAGATATTGTGTATTTTGGACGTTATGACATGTATACCACGAAAAATCATGCCACTCATCACACATCATAGGTTTCCCCGTACATTTGTCTGTAAAACTTAAAATGCTTTTCATACGCGTCTCCTTCTGCTATCTGGGCTCAGCAGCCGCTGTAACGGTCTGCTTAATTGTTCTGTTCGTACTGCAGCGGTGCTTCGGTGAGTGCCGCCGCGTCTGACGATAGGACAAGTGGCAACGTTGCCAGATGGACGATAACTACCGGTAGTTCAAGAAAAGAATGTCTATGGATTAATTGTATGGGCCTTTTTGACTGACTCGGCCCGTTTAATTTCTCTGGCTCTAACTTTTGCTGAACTAAATCCTTTATTACTGATGATGGTGTTGCCGAGCAAATGCACAGGCACCCTAATTGACGCCATTTTTTGGTATCTACAGCGGCATAAGACAACCTGTTTATTTGCAGTAGATCACACAAAATAATGATGAAAATAGTGTCAGCAAATGAAACAGTTTTTAGAAAAGCCCCGCTATGTTGTACAAAACAATAAGCGCCTTCCACTTTAAGGGAATTTGTACACTACACAATAGTCCTCTTTGTTCTTGAAAAAATCCCAATAATGGGATCATATGAGACATTTTCCATCACAAATAAATTTGAAGAACTGTGTAAAAACCTAGCTTACGAATCCGGATGGACATTAAAACGTTATCACTTTTGAAGAAGATTTACCGTCTCTTTTTGAAATATTCAGCTCGAAAGTCTTCGGTTTTGCTGCTGCTTTCCTATATTTTATAAAATAAAAAATTACAAGTCAATACTAGTAAATTTTTGCAAATATCTATCAAGAAATCTGTGGAATGCACATAACTTTTCTAACACGCTACGACAAAAAATTGGATGAATCAGATCAGTCAAACAGGCTCAAACAATTAAAACTTGAATATTCAGCATAGAGTTTTGTACAGTTGTGGGTATCTTAAGAATTTGGCGCCCTGAGAAAATATGCCCCTCGCTCTTCAAAAAGTATTTGAGGCTTTCTTGCCGATTAATGGCAATCCCTCTACCCCTAAAAAAAATTCCTGCGGACGCACTTGATTAAAACTATTATTACATCTAACGTGGATAACGATCGACGGTCCTCATCCACAGCAGTCGAGCAGCGACGGCCAACTGGGACACACCTGCATCGTCCGGGAGAATCTCTGATGAGTGAAATATGTCTAATAGGAGCCTAGAATTACCGTAGCTGCAGGCGTATAAGTAGGTATATCAACGTCAAAAAATGAGATACACCCTGCCCCACCTGCTACAATACCCATTGTAACCCCCACAATTTTCTTTCAAAATTATCCGGATCCTCTAGAGCATCAAAAAACAAAGTTTGAGTTATTTTTTGGCCTCTGGCTCTGCCGCCACTGGATCGATTTTGAAAAACAAGAAAGCTTTTTTGTCATTGGCAAAGCAGTAACCCTGTGTAAAAAATTCATCCAAATGCGACCAATACTTTTCAAGAGTTAAGAATCAGCGGACAGACCGACGGAAATGAGTGACAGTTTTTCATGTTGCACATCTCATATAACAACAAAAAAACATAGAATCTCATTATTAAAATTTTTCGCGATCACAACATGTACTTTATTTCAAGTGGTGTAGGAAATAAATAAACTACCAACAAAAGAAATCCAAAATTGTGGCTCGGTCAACATAATAATTAAAGCCCTTCCATAAATTTTGAATTATTTTCATACACGCAAAAATGGGAATATTAACCAGTGCTGTTCAGGTTGTGGTATGATTCTATTTAGGTATAAAATCTGGTTAATCACGAACATGCGATGCGAGTAAACAGCAAAATTCTCGATACTAAATGTAAATAATATTGTGGCCGGCCATTTTCCAGTTAGATTGCAACTAGCAACTGTCATCTGGCGAGTTTAACCTTTTAGGTTAATCTGTGATATACAATATGCGTTTCCAATAATGTATTCGGCAAAGCGGTCGTCATATATTACCAGTAATTAATAATTTCGATTTCCAAAGTAACCATATGGTACAGCATCAGTATTAATTATAAATGTTGACTTTCAAACACTACATTCAAGCGATCATCACTAATTATCATTGATATATAATGAAGATGGAATTATAAGCGTCATTATGAAGAAAGCTCGTATTGTAAAAATTCTTGATGGAGTTCTTTGTCTTCTACATGTTCGCATCTTCATTGAGATGGAATCATTTTATTTTGTTAGACCATAAATAGGCAATCAGAGGGTTACATAAATGTTCCCATTCTCGAGTCCTATTTAAAATCACAAAATTAGAGAAAACTGAAAGTTTGATACCGACATTCATTCGCTAAGTATGTGTCTAACAGTACTTATGTTTCAACATTGTCGCATTATTAATTATTATCTAGTACCAGTTTGAAGTTATACTAAAGATACTACTGTTACGATAGAATTGACAAACAAGTGAAACTACATCACAGAAACTACGCATTACACTAGAATCAATTCTATTGTAATGCCCACAGTATCATATACATCATATAAGTAAACTAAAGCATGTGTTGTAACCATCTAGTGTTTTTGTTTGTATTATAGTGACATAAGTGTCTGCATCACCTTATTCATCAACACTGCGGTTAGTTGCCGTCCATTGTCATCATATCGATACCTACATTAATTTTTGATATTGAAACAGAGGTACTAAGGAATAGTCTATGACAGAATCAGAGACAGATACCACTAGCACAAAAATTTGATTACATAAACAACACAATCCAAAAAAGTTCTTTGTCGCAACTTTTGCCACTCATTTCGTTTCAAAACATTTTTAATTACATCACAGAAATGAACACACGATCACATACTGAACACACATCTTTGTATGAGTTAAAAGAACTGGCAAAATCATTGTTGTTGCAACTAGATACCATAAACAATATATTTTGTGACAGCATGTTCTGATTTGATTATCAGATCTTTATGATAGAATATCACGTTTCAGGATTTACATTTCATTGCAGTTGATGTAGGTGTACAGATCGTTAACGAGACAAATCATGTTCGATCTTGACTTTCATATTACATTAGTCCTTGGGTGTTATACAGATAAAAAGTGTCCATTATAACAGATCGAAATTTTATGACACAATGGGAATACATTTGGGTTCCTTATGGAGTTTCAAAGATATCTACTACTTACTGTTCGACCTCATGTCATCTATTTTTATACTTGACTATTTATCGTCAATATGAAGTCAAATATGATTATATTTTCTTCTTCAAAAGTATATATTTGGATACATTTTAATAGGTACTCATTTTGAGCGCAATGGGTTGAAGAAATAGCGAGCAACCTTACCTTTTCAAAATTTATGATTCAGAATATTAGGGCTCTTTGATTTACCTGACTAGTTGTTAAGTAGATGATTTCAATTTGAACTTATGAATAATATACCTACATAAAACAAGTGATGGCGTTGATAGTGACATGACAAAAACGTAATAAGGAAATATAATAAAAGATTTACAATTTTGAAACTATGAGTGACTGCCACTCTGTTCGAGCTGAACATTAACGAATGATCCACTTGGCAGGAATAGTAATAGTGAACATTTATGAAGAATTTATTCATTATGCTAATGCTCGGTTTTTGGAGTAAGTCGCAGCACAAGTACGCTTCAAAGTTCAGAAGTTTAAATTCTGCGTCAGGGTATTTTGGAAAGATAAAATATCGTTTCTTATTCGACTTTGAATAGTTTATATCATAAAAATCATTCGCATGTACAGTGACAATTTGCTTCACAGTGACACTGACAATTTGCTTCATGTATGAAGATATTCGTAGTTTAGGTAGCGGTTAGGTGTGTCAATTAATATTTATTGGAGATTATGAAATAAAACAAGAAAGGTGAACATTTTTGCCAGGTTGTAAGACATAATTACAACTGACCTGTCATTGAAAAAAAATTTTAAATCACGGATTACCATGTGAGCGTCATGATTTTTTTTTGTCCTCTGAGCACATAGTGCAGGATATCACTTCACATAAAACACTAGAACTTACTAGCACAATGGTACACTATAAACTTGATCAGTCCATCCTGTTTGTCTATCAGTGTGCAAACATTATTAAAAAATTTTCTTCGGTTTCGGTGACATAAAAACCAATATATGTTACGCGCCATAGCTGGTATCGTAAAGATCGCGAGCGGCTAATATCAGAGGCTATTTGTCTGAGAACGGTAGAGCCTCTTTGTTACGGACATTATCATGCAGCCAATCAGAAACGTTCCCTTGGACTAAGCTTGCCGCCTATTGTAAAGCTTACTGTAGAACTTGTTAGCAGCTTACCGGTTTCTATCTACCCTTTGTACAGGGCAGTATCGCGCATATCCCGATTGTTCGTGGATCTTTGTGACAATTTGTTAGTGTCACTCACCTAATTAAAGCGCGTGTTCCGTCGTGCGGATGTTGTCACCGGCCCACAAAAAACCATTCACTTTGAGTTCACACACAAAACGCATCACAAGACGCACCGACTGCATGGACTTCTTCCATCCGGCGCATCGACAGCTACAAAATGTGTCAACTGCACAGTTAGCACCGGTTCAGGAGCGGTTACTGAAGATTGTCGCATAGCCCGACTTGTCCAGCGCCGCCGAAGGGAGGGGATACGACATAGGTCTCCGCACAGCGTGCGCACCGGGAGGCGTGGTCTCGCCACTGTGGGGGGGTTGACAAAGGTGGACGTTTGGCTACGTAGGTGACGATACCCTTTCAGAGGGGCATACTGTTTGTTCTCTCTGTACCCTTACTACTTGAACATCTTACCAATCAGTCTCTGCACCGACCGACGCGCTGAATGTATATTCACTCATTTTTCATTTTATTTTATTTAGACTTGTGTCGCACCTATTGTTCTTTTTTTCATTCCGTGGTGTGTTTCATTTCTATAATATTTGGATTATGCCTATCTTGTCAATTCTGCTTTCTTTTTTATCAAAATCAACATTATTCCGATTTATATAACAAGATACCGTTTAGAGAGTGATTATTTAATCTCTCGGCGAAAATACTCTGCCAAAGGACACACAGTTTCTTTAGTTAGTTTTAGTCCCTCAGATTCCTTATAGGATTATGTATTTTGCTTCACGTTTAATGTACAGTTTCCTTAGTTTGATTTTGTCACCTATCAGTCTTCACTCTGATCCAATGACTTGCCTCTTGGTATAGCGTTACTTTTCTATCAATTTTGTAACATGTTCCTTAGTTGATGATGATCTTTTAGAGAAGCTCTCTCTCACTGCACTTACCAGATACTCAAACATCTTACCACTCAGTAATCTGCACCGACCGACATGCTGAATATATATTAACTTATTTTTCATTATATTTTATTTAGACAGCTGTCACAGCTATTTTTCTGAACACCGTGTCTATCTTGTCGATTCTGGCACCTTTTTCATCAAAAACAACCTTATACGGATTGATATAACAAAAGACCGTTGAAAGAGTGATTATTTTGTTATTAAAGGATGAACAGTTTCTTTAGTAAGAATAGTCGCTTAGATTTCTGATAGGATTCTGCATTTTGCTTCACGTTTATTTGATAGTTTCCTTTGTCACCTATCAGTCTTCACTCTGACCCGATGACTTGCCTCTTGGTGTAACATTACTTTGGGCTTTTTTTCTATCAATTTTGCTTGGTGATACTGTCTCAGAGGAACTGTCTCTCCACCTACCGACGCACTGAATATTTATTCACTTATTTTTCATTGTATTTTATTCAGACTTGTGTTACAGCTATTGTTGTTTTCTTAATTCCGTGATGTTTTTTTACTTTTATAATATTTATGAACGTCTCAGATTATGTCTATCTTATTGTCGGTTCTGGTATATTTTTCATCAGAATCGGCACTATTTGGATTGATGTAACAAAGTACCGTTCAGAGAATGATTATTTAATCTCGACAAAAATACTCTGCCATACTGCTCTATTTCTTCTTCTTACCAATCAATATGTGGTTAACATATTTACATTTTTCGTTTTGTTTTTCGTTGCGTGATACTATTTTGGGATGTTGTAGGTATGTTGTTATCAATAAACTGTTTTTTTTTTCGTTATATTCTTCTCTGGGAATGTTAATGTAGATATATAGGTACTTATGAGCTTCTGCTACATAATCAATAAACTTCATTTATCAAATTGTTCGTTATGGCATTGTTTTTCTTCTTTAGGTATTTAATAATCGGCTAAGATGATAGTTACTATACGTAGGTGCTGTTCTCATTTCAGAGAGTATATTGCTTTCTTCACCCCTAACTACTCTCACATCTTTTTTTAAATTAATTTATGTAGAAGTTTTCTATATTTATGAGTTCCTCAGATAATTCGACTGCTATAATCCACTGCGGTTTCTTTTTGGTCATATCCTACGTTCTCTGAAAGTTGTAAGTTTTATGTAACGAAAGACTATCTACCCGTAACCTTTGGGAGAACGAATGTTATTAACTTTTACTAAATCAGACATTTTTTTTGACATTACTGATCACAGTTCCGTTACTTGGGAGTTTTTGTCATCGATATAGATGTCTTCAAATTGTATATAGCTGTTAACGCATGAATATAAACGCATTCTCATTTTTTTTAGCAAAGCTAGACATGTATTGATCGACCAGCCAAAGATTGCTAGGGACGAAAGGGGGAAATGCGATGAAAAAACCTTACCATTAGACGATTTTATATGGAGTCATAGGCGGAGATCGGAGAGACTTGAATTATTAATTGAATTTATATTTTATTACAACTGGTAGTATTAATATTTTTTTGCGATTCATAATGACGTGATACCAAACATACATTATAAGAAATAAATATACACAAACACTGAATATTGAGAACAAAATAAATATATTTTTTAGGCAACAAGTAATATTCCTATGTACGCATTATGATTGAACAGCAAAACAAATTATGCATTCTTCTAAAATAGAATACAACAAGTCAAAAATATCTGACTGAATAGAAAAATATAGGAAAACAAAAAGTAATTTCTTGATGAAATAACCCATAAACAACACATAGAATTAGACTTTCTACTGAGATACTAAAAGCCACAAACCAATAGTATAATAAATGAATATCTAAAAATTCTAAAAGGTAGCCAATCTAGTATAGTTTCAATCCTGATTAGAGTCATGATCACTGTCTGAGGAACTGTCATTGCTATCACTTTCACCTCCTATGTTGATTATTATTTCTTCCTGTATTTCTTGAATGAGACTGTCTTTTTCCCAATATTCATCTTCAATTTTTATAACATGTCCAATAACCTTTTGCCAGTCACTGGCACTTACTGAAGCGATGGCCTTATTAGAAATTTCATCTAGTTTTTTTATAGTAAATTCGCCGCTTGTATTATGGCTTCTAATGAAAAATTTTACTTGTGCCCAAATCATCTCTATGGGATTAAACTGACACATATAGGGTGGCGTTCGAAGTGGGGTGTGTCCGAAACTTCTTATTAAATTATCTATCTTATAATTTTTCTCATCAGATGGTGGCCTATGTAGACAAGCTATTTCATAAAGCTCCATTTTTTTAGCATTAGGATCATGCTCTATACCTTTTTTGCTCAACCACGTGATGATGTCTCTTTTTAGAGAAGATCTAGTTGGAGGCTTGTCTTCCAAAGCTGAATGGTAAGGTGCATTATCCATTATTATAATACTATTAGGAGGAATGTTAGGAAATAGTTTTTCAGTAAGCCACTTCGTGAAATTTTCTTGGTTCATTTGACCGTGATAATCACCAGTGGCACAGCCAGCCTTGAAAATGAGACAGGCTCCAGGAACAAAACCATCTTGCGAACCCGCATGAACAATTATAAGTCGTCCTGGAAATGAATAAATAGCCTCATTTTAGTGTTATTTTAAGTTTGCCAACACCTTTTTGAATCACTATGTATAAAAAACATATTTTTGAGAAAAAAATACTTGCAAGGGATTATGTATTCAATTAGACAAATTAAATGAGCACTTATTAAGAATATTCCAAAATTGAGAAAAATGTATAATAAGCAAAATCGAGGTGAAAGAAACTTTATTACCTGTAGAACTTATATTGCTCAGGACACCCATAATTTCTTCGCTTTGCCAGCATTTCTTGAAAGTGAGGTCATTATCAACCCAAGTTTCGTCCAAATAAATAATATGCCTTCCTTCTTCCCGGAACTTTTTAATAGACCTAAGATACTTGTATCGCCAATGTAAAATACTGGGTCTTTCCATTAGTAATTTCCTTTTGTTGTGGCATTTACGCCAGTAAAATCCTTTTGCTTTTAAAAGCAGCCTCAACGATTCTTTACCAAATGGAAATTCCATTTCTTCCTTCAGTTTGATTAGAAGTTTACTACAAGTAGGTACCACTTTAAAATCACAGTAAAATTTTTCTATCATTCTCCGAATAATGGAAAAATCGACTCCATCAATTTTTTGGATCACAGAAGGGCGTGATCTCTTTTTTCCGGGAGAAGCTAAAGGCTGTGTGGAGGTTGCATTTTGCCTGTCTTTATCTTCTTTTCTAATTTTACTTATAGTTCGTTCACTAACACCCGTATAATATGCCGCCCTTGCATTTCTAGCTACCAGTGGATAAACGAAAGTATTGTTAGCCGCTTCTGCATCGCAAGCACGTATCACGTTTGCTATTATTTCCCTTGCCTGGCTGTGAATAACTTTCCCATGCTTGAATTCCATTATCACCACTAAACAGTAAATTATATTTTCAAAGTATTTGCCAACTGCCTACGCCTATGGGAGTAGGTTTATAAATGACCGTGCCATCGGCACGTTATTCTAGTTTCAGATAAGATAAGAGTTTTGGACCAATCAGCGACCGGATGTTTACCTGCGGCCTGGGTTTTCCAGCTACATTGCCAAATTCAGCGGAACAATTCTATATCTTAAATATGTTAATATGTATGGACCGCATTTTATGTAGAACATCTGACAACTTCGCAATTTTTTGTCCGCATTCTTTCGGCTTGCAATCTTTCGCTGGTCCAACTATAGATATGGTTCTGTATTCTTATCTATTCATCTCACCAATTAGAGTCTGAACTGATAGGCTGCTGTATTTATACTCGCTCTTTTAAGTACGATAGTACCAAATAAACGACTTCTAATTCGTACGGGGTATCGTAGTTTTATTAATATCGTGACGTGCTTCTTCTCTAGCAATTGCATAATTTCTGTATTTATGAGCTCCTTCTCCTAGGTAATTCAAACAATGTTGCGGTTATGATTTATTATGGTTAATGCCTTGCATAATTTAATTGGTCTGAAATCTACCTGCTGCAGTTTTTCTTGTCACTTCATAATTTGTTTCATTGTTGCAGTGGTCTTCACTTTTCTAATTGTGTAGTGATGGAGAATAAAAACATAAGTGTCAAAACTGTTGATTACCCCTGATCTCTACACGTTTCCCTGTACTTACACTAACAAACTGCATCATGTTCTTGTCCTTTTCTCCTGTTGGTGAATTAGTTTCTCAGTTTCCAATAGAATCCTTATATTCAAAGCTATCGATGATCGAGCCTTATGTCATATTATGTAAGCCTTTTTCGATATTTAAGACTTGTCCGATATCGCACTCTTACAGTGGCGACGCGTGACTTTTCCTAAACTGTTACCAAAAAAAGTCTATTTTGAACCTCCCAAATATAAGTTTTTGTTTATTTTAGGTATTTTATTTAAACTATTTTTAAATTGAGGTAAACATTCCTGGACTGAGGGTCTGGGGCACTTGATATACCTCATCGTCTTATGCTATGACTAATCCAAGCCGTCCGAAAAAACAGTCGACGTTTCCAGATGTTTGGAAAATTTTTGATCTTTTTTGGCAATGAATGTTAACAATTCCCTGTAATTTCCTCTATTGTCAGAGTCATCCCCTTCAAAATGAACGGCAATTCGTGTTTTCCCAAAAAACATGCGGTATCTAAAAGCTTGGTTAAGACAACTTTCGATTCTTGTCTTGCCAAACTGAATTAAATTGGCTACACGTCTCACATGTAACGGAGAAATTTCATGTCTCCTCTTAAGAGCCCTAAAACTATTTAAATCGTTGACTCCGCTGCTGGTTCACCCATTTTTTTCTGTATAAAACAGAAGACATCGCCAACAATACAATCTGTTTTTTTGCAACCACATAATCAAGAGTTTCCATATACCAACTTAATTTAAAATATCAAACTACGTTTAATCCTTTTTAAAATTACCTAAAATAGGTGTTGGTCTTCCATTTTCAATGATCTCCAATTTTTCTTAAAAATTATACAAGGAGAATGAGTTTTCAAGTAGTTGATCGATTACGCAGCTTTAATTGTACGCACATTACAGCCGGTAACGGCTACCTACTGACGAGTGAGAAGTGAGTAACCAAATCAAAAAATGGTAACAAGCCCACATAATAGTCGCAGCGCCCTACGCACTCGGGAGGCCGCGATCAGACACGAGCCGGTACCGGCGGTCCCCGACGGACTAACCGCATTATTTTCGTGGGGGCTATTTACTGAATTACTATTACATATCGCTGTTGTTAAACAAATAAATAAAAGTATTTCACAGTACTTAGTCATAAAATATTTATTTTTAAGGTTTTTAACTGTTACCAATGGTAACAATGGTTACATGGACGCTTCGCCACTGCACTCTTAGAAGGTCTGTATTGATAAGCCAGTTTCCTTCTTGACATTCCAGCTTGATTTTATGCTCTTCTCACCAATCTCTAAGACCTCTGTGCAGTAAATGAATGTGGTCTTCCACTTTTTTGATGATTCAGACAAGGTATTCCCTGCTCTCACTCGGCTATGGTTCAATAAATGATTCTGGGTGAAATGTCTTCATTCTAAAATATTCGACAGATCTCAGCTCAACCAACTTGTAGATACTTTTTCGTATTTCTAATTAGCAGCATAGTAACAGTACCTATTGCGAATTTGGCATTCGCAACTGTTGTATTGGGATTTATTGATAAGCACGATGCGGAAGCACTGAATCAACTTACCTGGCGCGATTCTTTGTATATTACTGAAACAATAAAAATAAGTTATTTAATTATTTCTGTTTTAGAAATTGGAATGATTCGTCGAAACAATGAGAAAACGGATCAGATTCATATACCTTCAGTCCAATAATCGGCTATTGTCATCCTTGTAATAAGAAAAAGGCTCACGATTTTAATTATATGCCTCCCAGACAATAGCGCATTCTGAACTAAGCATTATGTGCCCACGATCCATGACTGGAGAAATGGTAGTGGTAGCAAAAATGGTAGCAAGCGGTAGTTGCTTCGACGTAGTTTTACATGGAATAATTTTGCATTAATATTTTGTTTCATTTCTGTACGTATAAGTATGTATGTATACTTTTGCTTCAGGATAGTTTCTGCAATTCGTTGTATACGAGGAAAACTTTTATGGAGAGTATTGGTGATGGTATGTTCAAATTATTATACTTTGAAGTTCTAAAGACTAATTCGTTTCTTTTAGCGAATTTCTGTGGGTTGTTAGTAGGTACTACTTATTTTTTACCGATTTTTCAAAGAGATATCGAACCGTTTGGAAATATCGCTAAACCGTATTTGTAGCGAAATTATCCCTCGAGCAGGATAGCTCTAAATGTAAAAAATGTCAAAGACTCGATAACGTGGTTATTAATACGGACCTTAAGTTTATACTTTAAAATATAGATCGTCAGATATGTGTTTTTGTTACAGAGGTTGCTGTACCTCTCTGAATTGGTCGTAAAAAGTTATTGTAGTATCAACTTTCGGATTTTGCTCCATTTGGCTGGATAACTACTAGGACGTCATTCCATGAAAGTTTCATGCATCAGAGACTTACCGAACATAAGACTTATAATATCGATTCTATTAAGTTCATTGAGAAAAATTTTAAAAAACAATATGCATTTTACAAGGTTAATTACTAAGACTCCATCTTAGCTTTGTGTGGAATATGTTTCAGCAGGTTATATTTTATTGTCAGTTCATTCAGATAGAAAAGTACGAGTAGTGTTGCAGAAACTTAGATGAAGGAGCATAGGACAATCATACTTTGTTGCAGAATTTAGATGCTTACGTCGAAAGTCATTTTGCAGTTATTCGGTTTTTCCAAATTGAATTGAATCCTCACACTTTGTTATTAGTTTTTATTTTCCACACCAATAGGAGAACGAATTTTTATAATTGTGGAATAGTTTTATTGAGGAAGTACTGTAATCATGGAATCGAAATCTAGGTATTCGTATTTGTCCACGGTGTGTGTCGATTTCGCTCTAGACTACAAGTCTAGATGGTGTATTGGACCTTCCAATATGTTTATTAGATATTTCATAACGCGGAAGTCACGAAAAAAACATGTCACACATGTTTGTCTGACCGCTAGATATATTTGGTAAAACATGAATAATCGTACTATTGGAAAGGATCAGTTGGATTATGGGCAAATTTTTCACAAAGTTACAACCACAATATAGACGAAAAATCAAAGAAGCTTTGGAGATGGGTGCCTGACTTCTCTCTGGCCGCAAGAACCCCAATTACAACGGGTTCTCTTCTTCATCCCACGATGTCAACGCGGGTGTTCCCCAGGTACCTGTTTCGACTCCGACATTGTTCCTCTAACATATCAACGGCCTCCTTTCCTGTTTGATCAATCCGACCAACAGTTTTACTGATGACAGCACTCTACATGCAGAAATTCAGCGTGACAAACCGATCTCTGTCGACGAGCTGTAGAAAAGAAGACTTACGGCGACTTCTTCTTTGACGAGAGATCTGGAAATTATCACGGAACAGTTCAATGCCTCCAAAACACAGTACTGTACTTTGTCACCTATCAGTCTTCACTCTGACCCGATGACTTGCCTCTTGGTGTAACATTACTTTGGGCTTTTTTTCTATCAATTTTGCTTGGTGATACTGTCTCAGAGGAACTGTCTCTCCACCTACCGACGCACTGAATATTTATTCACTTATTTTTCATTGTATTTTATTCAGACTTGTGTTACAGCTATTGTTGTTTTCTTAATTCCGTGATGTTTTTTTACTTTTATAATATTTATGAACGTCTCAGATTATGTCTATCTTATTGTCGGTTCTGGTATATTTTTCATCAGAATCGGCACTATTTGGATTGATGTAACAAAGTACCGTTCAGAGAATGATTATTTAATCTCGACAAAAATACTCTGCCATACTGCTCTATTTCTTCTTCTTACCAATCAATATGTGGTTAACATATTTACATTTTTCGTTTTGTTTTTCGTTGCGTGATACTATTTTGGGATGTTGTAGGTATGTTGTTATCAATAAACTGTTTTTTTTTTCGTTATATTCTTCTCTGGGAATGTTAATGTAGATATATAGGTACTTATGAGCTTCTGCTACATAATCAATAAACTTCATTTATCAAATTGTTCGTTATGGCATTGTTTTTCTTCTTTAGGTATTTAATAATCGGCTAAGATGATAGTTACTATACGTAGGTGCTGTTCTCATTTCAGAGAGTATATTGCTTTCTTCACCCCTAACTACTCTCACATCTTTTTTTAAATTAATTTATGTAGAAGTTTTCTATATTTATGAGTTCCTCAGATAATTCGACTGCTATAATCCACTGCGGTTTCTTTTTGGTCATATCCTACGTTCTCTGAAAGTTGTAAGTTTTATGTAACGAAAGACTATCTACCCGTAACCTTTGGGAGAACGAATGTTATTAACTTTTACTAAATCAGACATTTTTTTTGACATTACTGATCACAGTTCCGTTACTTGGGAGTTTTTGTCATCGATATAGATGTTTTCAAATTGTATATAGCTGTTAACGCATGAATATAAACGCATTCTCATTTTTTTTAGCAAAGCTAGACATGTAGATATGGTTCTGTATTCTTATCTATTCATCTCACCAATTAGAGTCTGAACTGATAGGCTGCTGTATTTATACTCGCTCTTTTAAGTACGATAGTACCAAATAAACGACTTCTAATTCGTACGGGGTATCGTAGTTTTATTAATATCGTGACGTGCTTCTTCTCTAGCAATTGCATAATTTCTGTATTTATGAGCTCCTTCTCCTAGGTAATTCAAACAATGTTGCGGTTATGATTTATTATGGTTAATGCCTTGCATAATTTAATTGGTCTGAAATCTACCTGCTGCAGTTTTTCTTGTCACTTCATAATTTGTTTCATTGTTGCAGTGGTCTTCACTTTTCTAATTGTGTAGTGATGGAGAATAAAAACATAAGTGTCAAAACTGTTGATTACCCCTGATCTCTACACGTTTCCCTGTACTTACACTAACAAACTGCATCATGTTCTTGTCCTTTTCTCCTGTTGGTGAATTAGTTTCTCAGTTTCCAATAGAATCCTTATATTCAAAGCTATCGATGATCGAGCCTTATGTCATATTATGTAAGCCTTTTTCGATATTTAAGACTTGTCCGATATCGCACTCTTACAGTGGCGACGCGTGACTTTTCCTAAACTGTTACCAAAAAAAGTCTATTTTGAACCTCCCAAATATAAGTTTTTGTTTATTTTAGGTATTTTATTTAAACTATTTTTAAATTGAGGTAAACATTCCTGGACTGAGGGTCTGGGGCACTTGATATACCTCATCGTCTTATGCTATGACTAATCCAAGCCGTCCGAAAAAACAGTCGACGTTTCCAGATGTTTGGAAAATTTTTGATCTTTTTTGGCAATGAATGTTAACAATTCCCTGTAATTTCCTCTATTGTCAGAGTCATCCCCTTCAAAATGAACGGCAATTCGTGTTTTCCCAAAAAACATGCGGTATCTAAAAGCTTGGTTAAGACAACTTTCGATTCTTGTCTTGCCAAACTGAATTAAATTGGCTACACGTCTCACATGTAACGGAGAAATTTCATGTCTCCTCTTAAGAGCCCTAAAACTATTTAAATCGTTGACTCCGCTGCTGGTTCACCCATTTTTTTCTGTATAAAACAGAAGACATCGCCAACAATACAATCTGTTTTTTTGCAACCACATAATCAAGAGTTTCCATATACCAACTTAATTTAAAATATCAAACTACGTTTAATCCTTTTTAAAATTACCTAAAATAGGTGTTGGTCTTCCATTTTCAATGATCTCCAATTTTTCTTAAAAATTATACAAGGAGAATGAGTTTTCAAGTAGTTGATCGATTACGCAGCTTTAATTGTACGCACATTACAGCCGGTAACGGCTACCTACTGACGAGTGAGAAGTGAGTAACCAAATCAAAAAATGGTAACAAGCCCACATAATAGTCGCAGCGCCCTACGCACTCGGGAGGCCGCGATCAGACACGAGCCGGTACCGGCGGTCCCCGACGGACTAACCGCATTATTTTCGTGGGGGCTATTTACTGAATTACTATTACATATCGCTGTTGTTAAACAAATAAATAAAAGTATTTCACAGTACTTAGTCATAAAATATTTATTTTTAAGGTTTTTAACTGTTACCAATGGTAACAATGGTTACATGGACGCTTCGCCACTGCACTCTTAGAAGGTCTGTATTGATAAGCCAGTTTCCTTCTTGACATTCCAGCTTGATTTTATGCTCTTCTCACCAATCTCTAAGACCTCTGTGCAGTAAATGAATGTGGTCTTCCACTTTTTTGATGATTCAGACAAGGTATTCCCTGCTCTCACTCGGCTATGGTTCAATAAATGATTCTGGGTGAAATGTCTTCATTCTAAAATATTCGACAGATCTCAGCTCAACCAACTTGTAGATACTTTTTCGTATTTCTAATTAGCAGCATAGTAACAGTACCTATTGCGAATTTGGCATTCGCAACTGTTGTATTGGGATTTATTGATAAGCACGATGCGGAAGCACTGAATCAACTTACCTGGCGCGATTCTTTGTATATTACTGAAACAATAAAAATAAGTTATTTAATTATTTCTGTTTTAGAAATTGGAATGATTCGTCGAAACAATGAGAAAACGGATCAGATTCATATACCTTCAGTCCAATAATCGGCTATTGTCATCCTTGTAATAAGAAAAAGGCTCACGATTTTAATTATATGCCTCCCAGACAATAGCGCATTCTGAACTAAGCATTATGTGCCCACGATCCATGACTGGAGAAATGGTAGTGGTAGCAAAAATGGTAGCAAGCGGTAGTTGCTTCGACGTAGTTTTACATGGAATAATTTTGCATTAATATTTTGTTTCATTTCTGTACGTATAAGTATGTATGTATACTTTTGCTTCAGGATAGTTTCTGCAATTCGTTGTATACGAGGAAAACTTTTATGGAGAGTATTGGTGATGGTATGTTCAAATTATTATACTTTGAAGTTCTAAAGACTAATTCGTTTCTTTTAGCGAATTTCTGTGGGTTGTTAGTAGGTACTACTTATTTTTTACCGATTTTTCAAAGAGATATCGAACCGTTTGGAAATATCGCTAAACCGTATTTGTAGCGAAATTATCCCTCGAGCAGGATAGCTCTAAATGTAAAAAATGTCAAAGACTCGATAACGTGGTTATTAATACGGACCTTAAGTTTATACTTTAAAATATAGATCGTCAGATATGTGTTTTTGTTACAGAGGTTGCTGTACCTCTCTGAATTGGTCGTAAAAAGTTATTGTAGTATCAACTTTCGGATTTTGCTCCATTTGGCTGGATAACTACTAGGACGTCATTCCATGAAAGTTTCATGCATCAGAGACTTACCGAACATAAGACTTATAATATCGATTCTATTAAGTTCATTGAGAAAAATTTTAAAAAACAATATGCATTTTACAAGGTTAATTACTAAGACTCCATCTTAGCTTTGTGTGGAATATGTTTCAGCAGGTTATATTTTATTGTCAGTTCATTCAGATAGAAAAGTACGAGTAGTGTTGCAGAAACTTAGATGAAGGAGCATAGGACAATCATACTTTGTTGCAGAATTTAGATGCTTACGTCGAAAGTCATTTTGCAGTTATTCGGTTTTTCCAAATTGAATTGAATCCTCACACTTTGTTATTAGTTTTTATTTTCCACACCAATAGGAGAACGAATTTTTATAATTGTGGAATAGTTTTATTGAGGAAGTACTGTAATCATGGAATCGAAATCTAGGTATTCGTATTTGTCCACGGTGTGTGTCGATTTCGCTCTAGACTACAAGTCTAGATGGTGTATTGGACCTTCCAATATGTTTATTAGATATTTCATAACGCGGAAGTCACGAAAAAAACATGTCACACATGTTTGTCTGACCGCTAGATATATTTGGTAAAACATGAATAATCGTACTATTGGAAAGGATCAGTTGGATTATGGGCAAATTTTTCACAAAGTTACAACCACAATATAGACGAAAAATCAAAGAAGCTTTGGAGATGGGTGCCTGACTTCTCTCTGGCCGCAAGAACCCCAATTACAACGGGTTCTCTTCTTCATCCCACGATGTCAACGCGGGTGTTCCCCAGGTACCTGTTTCGACTCCGACATTGTTCCTCTAACATATCAACGGCCTCCTTTCCTGTTTGATCAATCCGACCAACAGTTTTACTGATGACAGCACTCTACATGCAGAAATTCAGCGTGACAAACCGATCTCTCTCGACGAGCTGTAGAAAAGAAGACTTACGGCGACTTCTTCTTTGACGAGAGATCTGGAAATTATCACGGAACAGTTCAATGCCTCCAAAACACAGTACTGTACCTTAAAAAGATGGCTGAGTTCTACCAAAGAGCAGCCCATTTCGTCTGGTAGGAGTCCAGATTAAAGAGGACTTGATCTGGCGTGATCTATCTCGTCAATAGTGGCAGCTGCTGCGAAAAAGCTAGTCCATTTGCCTAGGGCTGAAAAGCACTTTTCTCCACGTGAATTCCTCACTCTGAATAAGACCTAGATAGGACCTAGCCTCGAGTACTTCTCACATGTTTGAGGTGCTGTCGCTCCCATGCTTAACGCTGTTCAGAGGAGAGCTGTCCGACTGTTCTGTAACGGATAGTGTATGCCGGCAGGTCGTCGGCGATCTAGCTCTCTTCTACCGTTACGCCAGCAGACTTTGCTCCTCATTTTGCCGCTGAGTGATGTGCCTGACAGCCAGACGCGCCTGACTTCGGCCTCCCATCCTAACCATATCGAGCTTCGTACATCAAGAACTGGCCGATAAGACCGCTCCTTTATCCCTAGGGTATAAGATTGAGGCACAATCTTAGGTTTTCCCAGTTCTACTAACCTTAGACAGTTCAAAAATCAGATTAACAAAGTTTCTTTAAGCTCCTCATAGCAGCCGCGGTGTCTTGGTATTTAGGCTTCTGCCTCAGCGGCTACTTCTGTATAAAAAATTTCACTTTTTGAAGATAAATACCTAATATTATATTAGGCAGTGGGTCCCCGGGGAGGGACTGTGTAGAGTTCCCACCCCCAAAAGGTTACAAGAAAAAGGAAAATACGCATCCCCTTCAACTTGCAATCGCCCCCTCCCCCCAAAATTGTCCTCAGGCGAGTGCAGGACCCACGGATTCCCGTGCGAGAATGATCCTACGAAAGTGCATGAGCTGCTAGACTGCAATCTCTATGACCTTGAATCAGAAACATTATGTGATCAAAACACTCTTTACACTTGGCTAGGCTGTTTCAGTCTTGAGAGTAAATGAACGCACCACGTATAGAATCGATGTATTATGTTCAGTGAGTGTGAACAATCCCTAATACGACATAACAGCCGTCTGAATATGATGACGGACGGGGGAGTGTGCATTATGAAAAGTAAAGCAGCCGATGGCCGTGCAAGCCGCAAGCAAGGGTACAGATGTCCCTCTGAAAGGGTATCGTCACTTAACTACGGACGGGCGCGTCCTGCGTCCACCTGGCCTGGAACCCCCTCCCTTATACCTTGATCCCCCCTCCGTCCCGCTCTCCGCAAACGAGCCATCTACACACGCAGTCACAGAATGAAGCCACGCCTTGTCATCAGTCTATGGACATCGCAGATCGCAGATGTGGATAAACACTCTGTCTGAATCAACTATTGTACGGTAGACAAACGCAAGGGGATGTGCCATACTGCGATACAGATATTTTCTAACAATACAGACACGGCAAATGGCTGGTGATTTGTATTTTAGGGTCGTCTCAAGAGTATCCGGTTCGAAGGACCATTATACATAAATGCACGACATATTTTTATCCTATATTTGAGGTTGATACTCAAGTTTCACATTAACCTTCATAAGTCCGTGGTCAGAAACTTACATTAAGAACCGAGTGGGACGCAAATAATTTTTTTTTTGGTCATTTCTTTTTTAATTTGCAGTTAATCAAAAATAAACACATTCTAATTAAAAAGATATACAGGGTGTTCCTTAATGATATGCGAATATTTAAGGGTGTGAATCTACAAGAAAAATTAATGTTAGTTTGTTTTATAAACTATGATACAAAAATGTTTTCTTACAAGAACTCGAGGTGTTGAAGTTTTAGGAAAAAACTGGAAATTAATTAATATTTTCAGAATCGCTCCAGATATTTCACTGATATTTAGTAGGTAGTGAAAGTTAATAAAGATGCATATCTTTCAATGCAAAAATAATTTTTAGCTTTAACAGTGGCTTGCGTACGGGTATTGACTTCGATATTTTTTAAGAAAAAAATGGTACGCCAATGGTTTTTTGCCAAATAAAAATTGTTTTTGAATTCTACGTTCAATTTAAAATAAATGTCTCTCTTGAGTTACTTTCCTTCGAAGCGTCATTTTTGAGTAAAAAATAAAAACCGTTCTATTGACCGACAAAATTAATGTAATTGAAGAATGCAGTTTAGCAATAAATATCTAGTATCTCTGGAATATGTCACTGGCTTTTGAAATCTGACAAGTCTCTGTTGTTCAAATCTGTTCTCTGTCACATCTTTTTTATTATTTAGTTTCCACAATTTTGTTAATAATGGTGAATTATTCAAATGCAGAAATGGTGGAAATGCATTATCTACGTATATGGCCTTG